TAAAAAAAAAAAAAAAAAAAAAAAAAAAAAAAAAAAAAAAAAAAAAATCTATGTTTTGCTGATACCCATTTTCTAACGGTTGCACATAAACTACACTCCTACAGTATGGAAATACCCACGCAAACCCATTCACCAAAGTACAGCTGTGGGGTAGAATCCATGAGTTCATGTCAAACAGTAAAGTAAGGGGACATTAGCTCCTTTTAAAACTTCAGACTGTAATATGAGTATAATAATTCAACCCAGCAGAATGAGCACGAAAGACAACACAGAGCAAGATGACATTACACTTAAGTAAAGCTTATGGTAGCACATTTTCCAGGAGAGCTTGCATGATGGTTTTTCTTCTGACAAATTAAACAAAAATAAATATCCTCTGGCACTTACACGAGAAAATAAAGAGTAACTTACTCCCTCAGTGTCATCCTGGTTTATGAGACTCTTTAGCACATGTGGTTCTGTACATGTTTCACTAGGGCTGTAATGGCTGGTGCTTTTGCATTCCAAGCCTGTATGCCACTAGTAGTTACCTGACTCTACTGACATGAAGTGTCCCCAGGAAAAAAAAACAAGTATTCCTATAAGCCACACAGTATCTTACTGTTACACTACCAATATTAGGTTGACAGCAGACAAACTAGTTTAGAGACTCAGACCTGACAGACATACTTATTAACAGGTTATTGAACAAAAACCTTTTTATCCTTTCAAAAAGTGTTTCTCTTCAAGGATTTTTTAGGATGCCTTCATGTTACAGAAGCTGTTAGCAAGGTTACCCCTCATTTCCCTCTTCTCATCCCCTCCCCCCAAATTAGTGATAATGCAGTGACAGAGAACAAAAGACAGAACAAGCAGAAGACTCAGCTTCTTAGAGTCTTAGGCATCTACCCTTGTCTGCCAAACATAAACGGCCCTCTTGTCTGCCGACTCCCACTCCTTGTACTGTACTGAGATACAGTCTCCTCACTCTACTACGCATGTGCTTAGGCGAAGGCAAAAGCTTTAAAGGGATGACAACAGGATGCAGAACAGCATACTTCTGAGCAAACAGCTTGTGTAGGAGACTAGCTTCAGGCTCAGGTAAGTTGAGTCCTTTGGACACTGTTCTCTAAAATACCCGCAGCTGTAGCTGTAGTTGTGGTAAGCAGAAAAAGCAGCTTAGCAGGGAAAAATGGCTCTTCAGGAATAGAACTAATTAAAAAAAACAAATAAGCCCACACTAGGCACTGCTTTCACAAAAATTAAAACACATCCTTTACATCCAAGGAAGGAGAAAGAGAAACTGATGATTTCTGGGGAGGGGGGGGGCATGGGGAAGAGACCTCTATAATATCTCTGATTCAGCCAAAACTCACCGTAACTCAGGATAAACATTTTCAAGATACCACTTGAAGGGTTTGCAGCTAAGTCTCTTTCTGAGTTCCATTCGGCTTTGAATACTAGAGGGGGGGGAAAAGGAACAGTTTTCAAAGTCAGGCTGCTGTCTTCATATATGTTAAGGAATACACAGAAAACTCAAGAACAGTAGAACTGTAGAACTACATCATAAAGAGATAGCACATGAGAGCTAGCACTGCTTTCACCTCAGAAGATGCTGTCTCATGAAGAATAAATGAATAGGGCAAAAAAGCACTTGCGACTTACTTGCCATAAGGTACATTCCTGGCTGAAGGCACTGCTGCGTAATAGAAATTTTTATACTCGTCCATCCAGACTTCTGCTGCCCTGCGTGTATTTCTAGGGACAATCATATGAAACACATAGGTTATATTTTCTCTAGCTGCAATTAAACCAGGTCATTTATCCTTGGGTTGATTTTAATCCTTTTTAGTACTACATAGTCAGCTGCCTCCAAGCCAGGCAGAAGATTCTGTGTTAAAGACCCAAGTAACAGAAAACCATTAGAGAGTAATGTAACTGAAATCAATGCATTTAGAATGAAATTTATGTCTTTTGCACACTCATCACTGCTTCAGGTTTTCATCCAGAATTTAATACACATCTTGGAGTTCTTTCTGCAAACTTCACGGAAGTTGTTAGGTTGTTGTTTGCTTTTGATTTTTTTGCTTTGTATAAGAGTAACTTGACAGAAGCCAAATTCAGTGAGTGTTCACCTGGATAAGCAAGCTATTTGGAAACATAAAAATCTCAACAATTGCCAATATTTAATAATGTCTTTTACCTTTCTGAAAACAGATACGCTAACATAGGCAAGACATTTTCAATCTTCATCCTATTTCTACCAGAAGAGCACCCAAAGTTCCAAAAAGACATAAGCTTCCATGACATTTAAGGCTATGAACCAAGCAAGTCTGTTGTAGCTGAGGTAACAGAGGAGATCCAGTAATTAGAAAATATTTTTAATGCTTTAAAAGTCAAGAGAGATTAACTATTGCAATAAATGTGAAAAACACTAACCCAAATTCTTTACTTCTAATCAAACACATCTCTAACTAAAATTCCTGTATTTATGTAACTGGTGTCTTTAAATCTCCTTTTGGACTGCAAGATGGTAATGCCTTTTTCTGTCCCCTGGCTTCCATGTAAAAATCATTTACTTCTATTGTTCATGATTTTATGCTTAGAAAATTAAGCCTTATTTCACTTGCAACTGCCATGCTCTGAAGCTTATTTTACATTCGGCAGTAAGTTCATCTAAAGCAACTTGAGTAAACTTAGTCAGCCAATAACTTCTTTAATATGATTTTCCAATTCAAAAGACAAAAAATAGTCAGGATAAAGCAAGCTGTTCTTGCAGGTTGCTGAGAAGGAAGGACACAGAAAAGAAAAAAAAGTCATAAGACAGACCTCAATTATTTTTTTTGTTTGAGGACTGATTTTTCCTTGCAAAGATTCTTTTTAGATTTTTTGTAAGCAAAATCCCATTCAATACAAATTAAAGAGCTGTTTCAGTTTCTCCTCCCTTGCGGCCACTCAGGCCTGTGTGTCAGCCAGTCACTCAGCACCTGCCCCTGTTGCTTGCTCAGCAATCAGCTTTGCCTGCCCACAGGCCAAACAGATTTTGGTGGTGGGAGAGGAACTATTTGGTTTGCCAGGGTTTAACGACTCCAAAGACACTTTCAAGGCCAGAACACATGCCTGCATCATGCTTCCCCGTACTCGGGGATGAACAGTTCAGGCTTAGTGCGACATAAATATGAAAACTGTGTAGATGCTGAGAACTGCCTAAACTAACACAGACCCCAAAGAAGGCAGGGTACTGAGGAACACGGTGTAGGGTGCACTCGGTTGCTTCGTGCTGAGCCATAGTTAATGAAACCTAGCACCAAGCAATCAGAGGGAGCTTTGCATGGAGCAGACTGGGGTCTGCAAGGTTTATTAGCTCGTCTGAAGCAGTGTATTAAGGCAGTGCACAGTAGTCTAAGAAATCCTGCCAGACACAAGCTGTATCTGCCCACACCACACAGCCAGGATGTGGACTCGCCTCTCATGAAACAGGACTCCCAGTCTCTCCTCCAGAATCCCCCGATTTGTTTTGGCTGCCAACAGGCAGTGCATACTGACTAGTCAGCTAAAAATAGGATGCCTACCCAGAGCACTCCAGAACAAACTGCATACAGTCAAGGGACAGATAATGGCATAAGCTAACAAGTCCCGACTGCGAGACCAGCACCAATTCCACGCACCAAGTTTCTTGGCACCAATGTCCTATACATATCTAATAATACCTGTATTACAAGGGTATCCCATTACCTTAGGTTTCTCATTCTCTCATTGCTAAGACTGATCTTAAGGCTTTATGTTATATTGGTTTGATACCCAAGAAAGCTGACTGAGGAGGAAACGTTCAAATATACAGCAACTTGTCAACCCTGCTTTTAAGCGATATGCAACTTTTCTAGGTCAATTAAAAAATAATTCCAATGAAACAAAGAATTTTAATGGCATTTCAGAATTTGAGACAGCTGGACAGCTAAGGACACAGGTAATAAACAACTTGCAGAGAAAGGTAGATCTGGAAAGGGATGTAAGTACCCAAGACACTAGTTTGCAGGCTTCAGCTGCCTTCACTATTCAAGCACATGCGGGATCTCTTTTCAAAGTCATTTTGAACACCAATGACTGGAAAACACAATGTGGCTTTAAAAAAACCTGTCATAGTAATTGTCAGGACATTTGAGTGACCAAATGACAATGATGATTTGACTTCACCACAAAATCCAAAAAGCTTTAATCGCAGTACGAACGCAACCCCTGCTAATATGATGCATTTCTGATGTCTGCTGTACACTTGCATGCATACAGCCACACCTTTTTCCTACTTTGCAGTTGAACTATATTTAAGTACCTATTTAAATCACAAGAAAAGCAGCATCTTGGCAACAGTCCAAAGAAGGAAAGGCTGCAAAGGAGTGGGAAAACCACACAATGTATATATTTTTATTAACTATGCTCCTTATTATGACATTGTCATTTTAAAATCCACCATGAAACTAAAACAGTTGCATCCTAAGCCTACATAATACAGTTTAATTGGTAGATCTTCCCACTCTCCTGATGACACTATAAATACTGGAATAGAGATGTGATTTATTAAGAAAGGATATTTCATTGCTAGCTTTTGTTTTCCCTTAAGTACTATTATTCATTTTCCACTGTAGCATAAAATACAGATCTCAAAGTATAGGGGACCAGAAAAATCCTTACTATAACTACTGGAAGAAACGGGACAGTGACTTCATTTTAGCAGACTATTACATTCATTAGAGTCATCTTGGTGGCATACCAGCATGGAAGAAAAGAATTACACCCTAAGGAGGTTCCTCAGTCTAAGGTGAAACACAAATCCAAGTATATTGGCAGCTTAGAACATTCTTATGAATTTAAATACACCTGTGTTTTCTGTGTTGCTTCATGTTAAACAGAGTTTGGGCTCCATATCCTTTCAAAGATAAATAAACAATTTTATTTGCAGCTCTTAACCCACAGAACCTTTAGCCAAGATCTGTACTTCTTCAGCCCCCTGAGCATCAAGTCCAATTCTCTAAATCAAAACCTAGTGATTCTTCAGCTACAACTAACAAAGCCTTGGTCAAAACATCCACCATACACTCCTACAACACCTTCATCCATATTACTTAAAAAATCACTATGAACATGAATCAGAATTACTGTTCTCATTCTGTAGAGGAGAAACTGAGGAAACAGCTCAGTATTTCAGCTACTGCTGTACATTGTATCAAGAGCGAAATTAACAGGCATATTAATCTAAGCCCTTAATATTGCAGTTTCTTAGGTTTATAGAAAAAAAAGCATTTTTAAACATAGCACAGGAAAGGCAAATGTGATATAGAATGAAGTTGCCAGCAGACTGGCACAAATGCCAGAATCAGTCTACATAACCATTTGCATATCACATACCGATCATGTATTAAGAAAAAGCAAGCAAAGCATATTCATATCTTAGTGTATTCTCGCTCTTAGAGAATGATGAAACTGTTTCTATGAAATGAAGATTTATGAGACAGTTCTGAAAATAAAGCCTTCTTTAAAACCAAATAAACAAAGTTCTCAAAATTGATAGAATGCCAAGCTAAGCATTTCCTTCTTTTCCAGATTCTCAGGCTGCGTCTGCTAGAAGTTTCCCTTTTTCAACTCTCAGGTTCTTCTCTCAATCTATGTAGTTGCCTCAGTCATTAATTTCCTTTTAATTAATATTTTTCCATGCTAGGTAATATTGCAAATATTTCTAAAGAAAAGATCCTTAAAATGAAATTACTGCCACCTGCTGATCATCTGAAGAAATCCAAAATATTGCTATTTAGCTGAAGACATGACTTAACAGTTACCTTGCAAACACGGTACCACTCCCACCGGGAAACGTGTAAGGATGCTGTTTGCGGAATACATGACCCACTCTGCTGCAAGGGATGATTTCTAGGCTCCCACCACATTGCCAAACTCTGAATGAGATCTCTGAAATAAAAACATGAATGAAAGACCACCATCACAAAATACTGTAATTTTGTAGTGTACTAATTACAGAGAAGGCTTTTACTGATTATTGCTGAGAAGATCAATAAGATAGTTTTCTGAGAAATTCTAGGATAAGCAAAAGCATATCTGAACATTTACTAATATTCTCCAAGCTCAGGAAAAATAATCATATTAACTTGGAAGCAAAACTCTATGTCTTCTCTTACCTGGGGTTACCAGCATTCCCCAAATTCATAAACCACTCCGCAATTTGCCAGAGTAAGTTAGGTCTATATGTACCATTACTGTGCTTTATCTAAAGGGTAAGCAACAGTAAATACACTTAACATCACTAGCTTATAATAAAAATTTTCAGCTAAAGATGGAATAACACAGTGAACAAAATCAAGGCATGATAAAACAGTCAGTAGATTCGAGCTGCTGATTTATTACAGCAGATAACCAAACACTCCCAAACACTGGTTGTGGAAGGAGTTATATCAAGTCAATCCTGATTTGAAGACAGACTGAATAAAGATGCAACTTCAGTAAACTGAAGGTTATGGACAATACACTTCTAAGCCAATCTAGTGAGCTGACCCAGCTAGGGAGGACAAGAAGGTCCAGAAATATTTATACACTTTCTCGTCTTAGACCTTTGACAGCAGAAGTCACCTAATGCTGACATGGAACTTTTCCTCATTCATTCCAAATTAGCACAGTAAGGGTGCTTTCAGTAGCACCGTTTCAATTTTGATGATTCCCCCTTCAGTCCAGCAGCTGCTACCAGCTACTGAGCGCTACCCTTAGTTCCAAGCCTCTTCACAATCATTCAGCATCTTTCCACAGATAATCAGCTCTAATTTAAAGTCAGCGTCTACCTTTTATAACTTAAACTAAGTGCCATTCCTTCCCCCAGAAGCCTTCCTCCCACATACACAAAATAAGTCATAAAAATAACATTACTTCAAAAATTAAATTTGAAAAAAAAAAAACCCAAAAAAACCAACCAACCACCTCAAAGGTTAGAGAGCATGTCATCATGACAGTCTGTCCAGAGGAAAAAAAAAAAAGAAAAGAAAAAAAAAGAAGACGTGCTGTGATTTCAACTGTTGACAGTGCAGGTTAACTGGCCTTCTTCCAAAGAGTCTTTGCTTTTACAAGGATAATTTCCTATTTGTTTTACTTCAGTGATAAATTCTGTTGCATTGGGACCAATTAGGCATATTCATGAACCCTAGACAGTCAACATAGTCTGATCTATAGACAGATCATCCTCAAAAATATTAATGACAATATTGTCTTTGCCATTAACTCAGTCTTGATTTTCCCGTTGAATTAACATGGGACAATAGGCAAAAGTAATTTTTAAAGCAACTTAATGTGACATTGTCTTCGTACATTTTTCACAGCACTGACTTCAGTCTTACACCTCTTATTTTGAGCTTAGAATGAAAAAAAAAAATGAGAATCACAATAAATAACTGGTCACTGCTTCTATTAAACAAGTTAGTAACAAAAGCAATTCTGCTTCTACCAGAATAAATTACACATAGATGGAAGACAGCAGGCTTTCCCATATCTAGCTCAGATTTGGTCCCATACTGCTCAAATTGTGAAAGCAGAGGAGTAATAGTTTTCTTGTACAACTTTGAAGCATTATTTATGGAGTTTTGCTAGAAAGTTCATACAGTTATTTGCCCAAAGTGAGGGCATGCTGCAGTCAGTGAGGACAGCCTAGTGAAAGAAGGCAGGGAGATCCGATCAAAGATACAGGCTTTTGCATTAGACAGGTGCAGACTAAATGCTCAAAATCTAGTATTAGACTTATTTAAGTATTAGAAAATACACACTTCTGAAATGCAGTAAAGTGAGATTCTGGTTAAAAATAAAAGGTCAGTGCAGTACGCCTAAAGCTCTTTCTTTTTTAAATGATTCATCTGAAGGTTTAATCCAGAAAGTCACTGTCATCTGTTGAATGTATTTAGGCATTGAAAAAGTATTTTTGTTTTAGAAGTAATTTAGAAATATCTTGTGTCAACTTTTTTCATTATTCATAGCTTCTTCTAATGTGTACATTAATTTGATTAATTCTCCTTCCATAAATTCCCAGAAATGTAAACCTACATGTATACTTTCTGGCACCTTAGATTCTGAAGAATCTAAAAAAAAGTGAAAATGATGAAAAATAACTCTATAGGAAAGACAGCAAAGGACTAGTAAGTCAGGAGAAGCAAACTAATTCTTATTTGCACCAACATGGCTTCTAAAGCCTGTGTGGATTTTTAAAGAAAAAGGAATGTACAGCAACTAAAACTTAAAAAAACCCCCACAAACTCCCTTAAGACATCTTTTTTGCCATACTCACAGTGGGAGAAGAAATACTACTATTGTAACAATTTCAGTGGACACAGTTTTTCATTGAAAAGGCATAAACAGCATGTCAAACGTTCTTCAGTTGCATCCGATTATGTTACACCTCTCTAACAGATTTGCTCTTTTCATTGTAGTGTGTCATCATTATTGAAGATGGGGAATGTCTTACTTGCTCCCTGATTTTAGCAAAATTATTAAGAAAAGCCTAGGTTTTCAGATTAGACCCAAACCTTCTAATGGTTCATCCAGTCTCCAGTGTACTCCAATCCTCCTATGCTTATCCAAAAGCATTGTAAAGATTCTGAGAATTAGAATTTACAAATTTAAGACAAGACTGAACAAACCTTGATCCATGTTTTGTACAGTGAGCATGTGTTATCAGTCATATCTAGCAACAATCTGAAAATGCACAGTATCTTCATGGTAAGAGCTGTCCCTGGGCTAATTTAGACAAAATACCGCAGGTCCATCTTGACATTTCTAAAGTTGAGACTATACTAACATGTAAACTAAATCTCATAACAGCTGCTCTGCACATGCTTGAAGGAAAATTGCGAAGTTTTATAAAGCATAAATATAACGTATCGAATTATTCTGCAAGTCTAGTAGGTTATTTGTATGTAACGTCAAGCTGCTGATCCAGAGATATGTGCACGTTGAATTTTAAACTGCACGTCACAGATTTCCAGTATCTGGTGAATGTGTCATTTATTGCAAATTAAATCATACGCCATGTGATTTTTACTCGTCTTCAGTTAGTCTGGCAACTATGAACAAATTATTAGCTGTCTGCTGGACTGACTGACCTTGCCTTCTCAGGGAGCCGAGAAAAGGCACCCCAAAGTCTCCATCTCCTCCTTCCCATGGAGGAAAAGGAACAGAATGGAGCAAGAGCAACATAAGCAGCTTTTTGCATGCAGTCTTCTCACCTTGAGTGAGGAGCTGTTGCTTGTGCCCTTTCCTGCTATCAAGGCCTCAGTTATCAAAGCATAAAGGCAGCTGCTAAATTTTCAGAAAAAACTCGGTCACTCAAGTACATGCTTGCAGCTAATCAAATATTTAAGTGCTCTAGTGGCAAAAGAGGTTTTCAGAGTGAACATGAGTACTGCTGTAGTAAGTTTATCCAATGACTTTCCAGGACATTTAAAAAATGAAAAATTTTTATATTCATATTAATACAATTTAGCAATATACAGCCAAAATAATGAGAACACAGAAAGTAATTGTTTGAAATATGTAAGAGGTTTCTTTGAGTGTTGCATAGGAAGGTCAGAGACTGGACTGTAAGGATGCCTCTTCCAACCTTTTAGTTCCTTACAGGAATGTTAAACATTTGGTTACCATGTCTCCATACTTAGCATGCTGTATACAGCAGACATTTCCTTGAAGGCCAAGCATATGCTCAATGCATATGCATATTTCAGCAACTCAAAATACTCATGGGTTTTCACAAGTTCAAGGTATTTTAGGATTCTGCAGCTAGCACATGCAGTAGAGAAGTTTCTATCCTTAGAACTGGTCCTAAAACACACTACTTAAGATGTCTGAATGCATCTCTACCCCAAAACACTAAATTAATGACAGACTGGAAGTTTTGAGAAGTTGTAGAGTTCTGCTCCTCCCAAACATTTTGGTTTTGTTTGTTTGTTTCTTTCTTTGTTTTAATACAAATATACCGGTCTTAACTGCAGAAAAAACTTTGTACAATACTGTAATGCAAAGAGCCAAGACCCCCCTAATAACACCAGATTTAACTGCCAGGTCAAAGAATAAATGGCTAAAACTCAAGTTCTCTCAGCTCCTCCTCCCTCCTCTGTAAATCCCACTCACTGAAGTATCTGAAAATAAGGACTTACAGCAAAAATGCCTTCTCAACCATAATTACCTCACAGGGTTAAAGTAGGGGTATCAAATTAAAAAACTCACTAAGTTTACATGTCAGGCAGTATAGTATTATTAAAGTTAAGAAACAGATTATTCTTTAGTCAGCTGCGTTTTAACTGATTTCTTAAGGTGTATGTAAGAACATTAAACTCATGAACTCCTGTGTTCTACTTTTCACGATTAAATTTCAGCAACATCTTAAAACATGCCTTAAATTGTCAGCATTTAAACATTATTGTATTTTAATCAATAACTTTGGATGAGGATGTGACTTTCAAACAAGATAGCATTTTTGAAAATAATTGCCTATCTACATCCTGTAATATTTTTATCAGCCAACCTCCATTACAAAAAAAATTCCCTGCTTAATGAACAAACACTTTTATTCTCTCATATTTAGCATATAATTCCTACCTTGTTTTAATTCTTTCATTGAAATAAACCTTTTGGATTTCACCAGTAATGCATGTGAAGTTTTAACTCTGGTTTTAACCCTCTGCACAAAATCAGGAAGACCATGACTCTGCGACAGTACAGGCAATGGTGAAACATGCTTTCTTTCAAGACTAATCTGAAGACAGATAATATACATACCTAAGTTTTCTCCACCCCAAACATCCATCATCATGTCATACTTCCCCAGTTCTTCAAAATAGGATTTGTCCATCACAAATAACCCACCAGCTATCATGGGTGTCCTAAACAGACAAGAAAAATTAAATTAAATACTTACAGAACCATGAACTCTGAGGCAACCATTATTTGCATCTCAAGGTTAATACCCCCTTGAAAAAATTTGCAATGCTTTTGAATGCAACTAATTTTGCATATATCAATTCAAATGTTGTCTGCACACATTTCTATGGCATATATAGTGCCCTGATCACCTTCTGAGGCAGTTTCCAGATCTCCATTTGGCTTACAAGTTCCTGATGTAAAGGGTGGCAATTTGTGCCAGCAATAAAACATTAAAACTGATGCTGTATTTTTAGCCCTCAAAACATACCAGCTTTAAACAAAGTGACATCTACTTTTTGTTAAGGGTAAATAATCTACTAGCGTGCTTTAAAGTATTTTTTTAAAATACAATTTATTTATGAGTCTCATAATGCTACATAAATATGAATGAAATTTCATTATTAATGAAAGCTATAGTAAAGATCCCCTTCCAGACTCAGAGAAGATGATTTCTAACTTTGTTTAGTTGCAAACTCCAATCTATTAGAGGGAGAAGTAGCGGTACAGACATACTTTATGGGAGCAACTGGATTTCCTTGCCGTGCTCTTCTTTGCTCTGGTGTCATGTAATCCCACTTGAACACCAGGTTCCAATCAAAGCCTTAAAGAAGAAAATATTAGAGTAGGATGTTAAAAAGACTGCGGTCATCATTCAACTTGTAGTAACATAATGTTGACTGAAAACACTGGGAACTGTAATTTAAATTAAAAATTTAAACTTGGACAAACTTCTGGGTAGAAAACAAACAAGTCCAGATGAAAGGTAAAGAAGTTGACAGGGCAATAAAACAGGAATCTCAAATATTAAGTAACTTCCATTCCTCTTGTTGCCATCTATTATGCAAAGTAAGAAATCCAGTCAACAAGTGACAAAGCAAAAGCCTTATATATGAATCCAACATCTCCTATCTTTACATTGATTAGAACATCATATGAAGATCTTCCAGCCATTACAAATGCTCCTAACAGTCATTACTGCACAACTGCATTTCAACTTTTAACAAATGATCACATATTTATGTTTACACAGGCTTTACGCAGTACTCTTGGTACCCCTCTATCAGCAGGAGCTCTCCATCATGAAGGTCACACCAGGTTATGGAGCTCCCTCTTATCTTACTAACATTCCTTTAACTTCCTGCTTTCCCACTGCATGCTTCCAAGCGCGTCATTTTTTAAACCCGAGGCAAGTGCTAGAGCACCAAAATCTTACTTCCCTTATATATGTACATATAGGTGTGTACACACAGCAACAGCTGGTCTGGTCCTTTCCTGAGTTAAGCACAGAAGCCCATAAAGATCACTAGAATAGACAAGACCAATAGGTGACCTACAGCAGCTTTCTACCTGACAACCATTTGAATTACCTCCTTTAGGCAACAATACACAGCTGGTACAAGACAAACTCCCTATAGGAAACACTTTCATAATAGTTTTTGAGCTGGGTTATGCCCATAAGCATGAACATCTATTAAAAAACTACACAAGGTCCATAGCCCTCTCCCAGTACACCTAGCAAATCAGCCTTACGCAGACTGCCTGCTGCCAAACACATTTACATCTTATGAGGTCATGTAAGGAATGATTTCCAGATTTCTGGTGCACAGATGTCAGTAGTTTTCTTTCTCCAGCATAAAAATAAAGCAATTACTTTGTGGGGAAAAAGCTAAAGTAAACAGACAACAATTACAGTCCTACAAACTGTCTGTCTGCATCTGTAAACATGCATAGTAATGACCGATGCAGAGTAGAAAACGAAACAGTTTTCATTTTAACTCACAAGATATTTGACACACACACTACAGAAATTATCCTGAACAGTCTTCAGAGCATGCATGCCAACTCTTTCTCTCCATGTTTGAGTACTTCATGAAGTGTTGCACTGTAAAAATGAAAGACCATCTAACTACTCTAAAACTCCAAGTAGCAAAACAGTAAAATGGCTACAATCGATAGTACTGCAAGGCCTCCAGCGTGAAAAGTAAAATGAGCTCCAATATTTCCATGCAGTTAAAAAGTCATACTTTATCATACATACCCAGCAAAATTACTTGCATCTGGGAGAACTTTGAAAAAACCTACTGTTCTCCGGCAGAAGCAGTAGAGATAGAGTTACATATACTCCAGTGAACACAAGGGGTCTCTTTTGGAATACAGCACTCTGTTACAAACTCCGAACAAGTGCACAAATTGTCTACCCATAAAAACTGGTTTTCCATCTCCATTTTCACTGACTCTGGGAAAAATCTGCACTCAATGAGATAATATCAGTAACTCTGTAAAGGAAGTATTTTTAAACACAAGTGCATATCCAACATGAAATTCTATCCAGTGTAAACTGCATCATAGGCATACTCTAAATTATTAGATCTCTGTTAACTACAGTTTATTCCAGTAATTAAAGTGTTTCTCAGGGCAGCATAAACACTTTCGCAAATCCCTCCCTCAAAAAAAAATTTGTAACATGAAGTGCATGGATTTAGTATTGGCCAGACTGGGGAATTATTTCAGCCCTGTCTGCTTTAAAAAGTTTGTAGCATTTACTAGGTGCTTGTCTTGGGTGATTAAGTCCTTTCAATACAGACCAGGCACAAATGCTGTCCCAGCTGTCTCAAGTCTCCATGCTTCAGCCACACAGATACTGTGTCTAAGGTTGAAAGCATAGTTTGGTTTCCATGTTTAGACTTGGCCCCAGTGAATGTGTCCCTGTGATGCCAAATGCTGTAGTGCCTCTAACATGGTAATCTGTCCTCTGGGAACAGAAAAGAAATATATTATTCGTGTTTCAACAGACCCCCAAATAGCTTTAAACACTGGTATGTGCAAAATTTCTATTGTTAACATTAAAAAAAGACAGCTTCTCACTCCTCAGCCCAGAAATACAGAGGCTCCATGCACTTTAAAAAAAAAAAAAAAATCTATCTATTTCTATTGTGTACGAGGGGAGAAAATGAGCACACAAAAAAAGAAAAAGAAAAGAAAAGAAAAAATAGAGAAACGTAGTTCCAAAGATGAAGCATGAAAAGCAGTAACAAGTGAAATGATCTCTCAATCTTCTCCCACTTCACTTGGGAAGAATTAAAGAGCATGAACCCCGCAGGAACCAATCGAAGATTTCAATGAAAGAATTCCTCCTCCTACTGCAGACAACAATAAAAACCACATAATGGTATAGAGATTTCCATACTCGAGGTATAATGAATAGATTGGGTAAAAGCCTTAAGGTTTTAATAAAGCTGGCACACAGATAATAGCACAGAACTATACATTAGCATACTGTGAATATATGCACTGTAGGTGTTATTTCAAAACGTTAATTAAAAGGATACAGAACCTCTCGCCTCCAGATCACTGACGAACTTGAAGCATATGCAACATTATGCAAATATTGCTTTTATTTTAGTTTACTGGAACAACACTTGGTGGCCGGTTGGAGACTAGTAACTGAGAGAACAGGCTTGAAATTTTTTTTCCTTCCTCACTGAAGAAAGTGCATTTAGAAAAAGCTGAAACACTGTGGGAACAGCACTACATAATTTCTATACAGTGGCTCATCTTATATCTTTATGCAGACAGTTCAGTTTCCAGGGTTGTGGGAATAATTATTAAAAAAAAAAAAAAAAGGGGGGGGGCAGAGAACAGCTATTTTAAACTCTAGATTCTTGCTAGGAGTAAAAAAAAAATTAAAAAAATTGTAATGAGTACGGATTTTAGTGTGTGGTTGCCCTCCCCCTCTTTGAAAAAGGAAAGGGGAGGATTTTTTTTATTGTATTCATTTTTATTGAGTGCTTCACAAGTCTTTTTACTATTTGCTGTCAACAGTTTACACTAGCTAGACATAGTGAAACTGTAGTACTTCTAAACTTAACAGGGAATTTTGTAACGGTAAAGGTATAAATGCTACAAATTTTCACAGTCACATGTTACTCTCTTCACAATTACAGATCATGGCTAACAAAACATTTATTTTTTAAACACATTCCAAAGCTTTCTGCTTACTCAGAAGAGTTTAATTTTTAGCAAATCAGCATCTTGAAAAAAACTCATAGGCACTGCATTGCTGATGGGCTTCTAAGCTAGTGAGCAATTAAAGCCTGTCTTATCTAAAAAGAGAATCATAAGCTCTGGCCATAAGCTGCTTCCGACATATTTACACAATCCTACATTGGAGCGAGTCTTGCACATTGGTAAAAGGCAGCATAAACTTATAAGTATTAGTATAATAAAAAGATCAACTGTTTTAAAGTAGAGGACAATAAAGCCAATTAAAATCCAAGCCTAGAAACAAGTAACCTACAGAACTTAAAACTAGATATATGAAAGGGAAGAACAGTATGTTAATTGCTCATTCCACAACTGCAGTGATTATGAGCTTTGATTCTTGATGCCTTTTTTTTTTTTTTTTAAATCTGTATTCCAGTACAGGTACATACCGCCTTTTAAATCAGCTGACGCCCCCACGTACTGGAAGTTGTCCATATTAATTACATCAATAATAGGAGACACAACTCTGGTCTTGTCCTAAAATAAATATTAGAAAGTAATATTGAAATAATGAAATCAATATATAAAGATTCAGGCAGGATAAGATGTTGAACAGTTCAGCAGGATTTCATTAGCACGTCTCCCCCAGCTCTCCCCCTACTTCAACTTACAGCTCTGAATAGCCAGTGCTGTGAATAGCATTGCTCAGCACTGCTTCAGAAAGCAGAAACCACACAATATAGCTGGGAATCCTCTTTCTATTCTAGGCTACTTATATTCAAGTAATCCCCCTCTTCTGACTTGCTCTTGAAGAAGGCAGCAAACTTGTAGTTCTAAAGGCAGTCGAGCAAACAGCACTTCCATTCTTACTTTTAAAACCAGCTCCAAGAAAAGAAGCATCCAGGCAATTCATATTTTCCACAGCAAATCTCTAGCCACGCAGTGTATTATGGTCTTATTATTTCAACCTTTAAGGAACACTTAGGCCTTTCTGCAATCAGAAGAGTCTTAGGTTAATGCTAACCCATTTCACACTAGCAGAATCACACTTCACTATCAGATACTTAGACAGGAAAGAGAACGTAAAACCACCTCAAACTAATGAATGCTATTAATCTCCAGCAGCCAAGATTCCAGTGGTACAGATACCACATTCCTCTGTCCAACCAAGGTCTCATATAGTACTCTGAGCATTGTTAATTACCTCAGCTGATGTTTTTGTCAAAACAGTTCAAGAAAAACAAAAATCTTTCCAACAACTCCACGTGCATCATCCAGTAGGATCACAAGACATCAGTACTTTAAAAAAAGACTCATCTAATATTAGAAATGCAGTATCATGGTTAAGCCAATTTGTCTCCATGAGTTATTGGGGGAAAAAAAAAATTACATTTACAGACTGAAGCATAACTTCTATGGTAGTTTGATGGAACATTTTGCTTGAGTTCAGAATAAAAGTTTGAGGTCCACAGTTTAACATCATTCAGAGAGCATAGATAACTTCAGAACAGTGTACCACCAAATCTGTGAATATAAACAAATGTTTTGAACAAACAGGATATTTTGGCAACTGTTAACAGAGAAACAGTTCTCATGGTTAAAAAACCATACCAATCTAAACATCTCCATTTTCAGAATTTATTTCATAAGTATGTCTTCAAACAACAACACATATATTCTAGACAGTGTTTCAGCAATGCATCCCCCTTGCTAATCAGTATTGTACAGAACAGATTGGAACCAAATTAGTATGAGAATAGCTTGACCTCCTAACAAGAGACTTAAAAACAACTCTTTTAGTCAAATGCTTTGCTTGGTCCAATAAGGACACTAAACACCCATTTTCATTTATTGGATCTTAACTATTCAATCTGCGCTGATTTTAATAAGCCCTAATTACATTGTTGGCATTTACTAGGTCATTCTGCCTGAGTGAGCAACAGGTCACTAACTTCTGTATCAGCCAAAAGGAGAATCCAAGTGAACCCAAGAGAATTCAAGCTGAAGACTAAGCTAAAAGCTGAAGACTCATTATTGATTTCTACACTCCTTTTAAGTATCACTGCGGCTATACCACCCTAGCCAAATATCTGCTTTTATGAGAGATGTAATATAACATCTAATCAGCTCTGCTACTGAGTATCAATTAGCCTGGTCTAAAGCAAGCTAGAAACACAGACAAAAAAGACCAACCTGTCCTACTTCCCCATCGATCACATCTTTAGCTCCTGTTTCTGTTAGCTGTAGCCCCAAGTCCATGTTTATAATGGCAAGCATACAGTTTTGCTAACTGTGTTGTACTTGGGAAGCAATAATGATTTACTGCACCTTAACTGCAAAACTCTAACTGTGTTTGTGTGCCCTCCTATACCGCTAAGGCATTTCAGGTGTACCCATGACCTTATTTTAGGCATTCTATATACAGTGATAGAATTAGAAAACTCCTTTATTTAAAGGCTGATGAGATAGAAGATATCCAGCCTGTCCAGCTATTCACAATACACCCATGAAATACACGAAACAAAAATGAAACCACCCTTCCTTTCTTTCTCCTTCTTTCCTTAGCTGAAGCTAAGACAGCTTATACATCTATGCCCATCTCTAAAAATCTTTTCTGACAAAAATCTGCATTTTCTCAAAAGGTTCTACTTGGCACAGTTGAACCTGGTGGTAAAAATTTCCCAAGCTGTCAAGTATCACATCAGGTAGAGCTTCAGTTAGGCTTCAAACCCATCTCCACCATGCTGAGTAAGCAGGTAGAACACTGTTTCTGTGCATTTGGGATTTCCTCAGGCTTTTACTGCTGGTCTGATTAGTTCTATCAGTATCAGTGCGACACCACACTAACACCACTTGCTACGCCTAATGTATTATTTAAACAACTTACAGTTTTTTCTCCAACAGACGAATAGCCAGGTTGTGAACATTCGGTTCAATGTACAACCCCCACTTCGTTGGCTTGGAAACATGCTGTTTGAAATCATAGATTTGCTCAGCAGCAAAGCAGACAAAAGACTTGCACATTCTTAAGGTGATGGCTTTGCAGGGCACTACAAAGTTGTCAATACAGAGATTGCTACAAAGAAAGAGCTTGTGGGTCTCCAAAGTACACAGAGTTCATTCACTTAAAATACTACACCGCAGCAGCCCCCTTTAAATTGTCCTAAAGCAAGATACTTATTTATCCATAGTGTGATTAAAGTAGAAATCCAATGTGTATTTTCAAAACAAAAAAACACAAGCAAAAAGGAAATCTTTCTGTAATCTTCTGTTTCATTCTGAAGGGTTGACACCATAACTTATAATGGAACACACAACTGGAAAACCATGTGTTTCTTGGTGAGGGTAATGGAAAGAAATAACCTGTGAATACTGCAAGTCTCTAGTGCCTGGAAGCTTGTAGCAGACTACTTCATTTTAGTATTTCATAAGGAGGTTATGTATGCTCTAGAGAGTTAGGCTATTATATATTATTCTCATAAACCATCAGAAATTTTCCTCAAGGTTCTGCATACATTGCTTCCCCCCTCTCTAAAAATCTCAAGACACTTCAAAGATTAAGCTTCACAACACTCTTAAGAGAAAATATAAATATTTTCCTTTCAGCATTGTACCAGTTAAAAGTTGACTCATTCAGGGTCACAAAATCTGAGACAGATATGAAAAAGGAATCCACATCTCATTTCTTAATCTTAGCTCTTTCTTCCTTTTAAAATCGTCTTTGTTTAAAAATACCTTCTTAAAAGTGACAGGCTTTATGGCTATGCTATGAAAACAGATGAGTTCAGTCCTGCACCAGAATCTTCCAATTTTTATTTTTCTCATGTAACTGATACATTGTAAGAATAGAACATCAAAGTGATTAGAAATTGGAAATGGAAAAAGCCAAGGAGACAGATATTCATTCAATAGCTAGTAGTTACCAATGTTTATAAGGTTGTGTACACTTATTACTATGTTGACATTTTGGGGGAAGTAAAGGGTTAAACTGGCTCATTGTTTGATCTCCCCTAACTAACAAGCACACAAAAAAATCTAGAGGACGACATAAAAGGTAGCCTTAGGGAATCAGGCAGAAAGACATTCTCCAGGAGGGAGTAAAGAGATTTACCAGCTCCGGGTTACACAGGTATCTGTACACATTCTGCACTCTAAAATATTCACCTTTTACGTATGTTGCTTCTGCTTTAAGCCTTTGCTCAAATTGCTGAAGAAAGATCCCTAGCAGTGCCAGACCCCTCTAGGAATGCTAAGCAAGCCTGGTCAAGACACAAAGATACTCTAACCAGGAAATTATCTCTAAGAAGAAAACCATGGGATGGATTATCCTTCAACTGAAGAGGAGAGCTTGATGCCTCAGGTACTCCTAACACAAGCAAGATGTTAAAGACGTGCTTTCTAAAGTGGTTACAGCACATCAGATAGAGTATTGTAGAACTGATTCAATTCAGACTGTTTCTTGGAAGCTATATATTTTTATTTTGTAACATGCACAACTAAAACTCCAACAGAATTAGATGCCAAGTGGGCAATTCTGGAACAAAAGGAAAAAAGAAAAACCCCACACTTTCCACCACATACAGAACAGATGCAGCAGTGCATCAGAAAATACTGTATTAATGCATAGTACCCCTGACCTGAAAAAGTTACCTTTGAGGCCAGAACAGTTCACATCTATTCAGCTTCTTGTCACTGAGACTATCAAGAAAATGCTGCCAATTAGCATACTATCTGCACTGTGAGTAAAATCAATCCATTTAAAATAACAAAGAACTATCATATACTATAGGTAAACACTATCTATGCCTTAAGTATTTGAACAAGCAGAAAGCTTAGAAGCTACTTTATCAAACCTCACACCTTTGGTTGGGAGTCTTCCCAGATGAAAGTAAACTAGAATTCCACATCAATTATTTATTTAACAGCACATCAAGCTTTTAAGAATGAAAAACCGTATTCATACAACTGAAAACTATTCAAGTTTTGTACACATGATTAGCGTGTACCGGGGTGACAATTGTGAGGAGCAAGTTTTGAAGGATCTAATAATTCCTGTGCTGCTAAAAAGTAGCTGCTGCACAAAGCAAAATATGCACCAGTTTCTCCCACCAAGTATACCACATGTAATGCTGGATCTCCACAAAATTGTCAGCTATTTAATAAGAGACTTTACATTCTACTACGATGCAAAGGTAACACTTTTTCACAACCCGTATCAGTTTCAGAGCGCTAAATGAGCATGCCCTGAAAAATGTCATAGACAAGAAAAAGGGTAAATGGCAAAATAGCTGTCTTACTAAAAAGCAGAGGTTTGTTGACCAAAACTACCATTTCTCTTCTGATTTCTCAAACAGGTAGATGCTTCAAACCATTTACACAAAAAGGCTTGAAAACAGATTCCACATCCTAGAATCCATTAGTGTTTTAGCTGCAAACATTCTCCGCTTCCTTCCGAGATACACGTAATGCCTTCAAGTTTATTTTCCTAGTTAATAATTATAGAGAAATTGCCCCGACCCTTCTGAGGCTACAACACTTCACACAGGCACAAAAATAGAAGGAAGTGCTATGTTTCTCATGCTCAAGGGCTCTGTAGGCTCTAGGTACTTTAATAGTGTCCAGGTTTGACCTGATTAAAGTTATTTCTACTCCAAAATAGGATTTTAACTGCTGATATGTCTTAGGCCACTTAGAGTATTTCTGGAATAGACAGTAAATCATCACAGAACCAAACAGAATAAGGAAAATCAGTCATCAGTTGGTAGCTTCTCCAGTGGCATATTGAGTATACGGGTTTTACTTTCTTCCCCCCTTACACTTTGGGGGGAAGTGCAAAGCGAACTGTAGGGAGGATAAGCAAAGAACTGGGCCTTAACAAGACGGGATAGCTTAGCAAAACCATTTTGACCAGGAGCATTTTGAAAGAAAGCCTTTCCAGGAAGGGGAGTTGACCAGAAAGGGAATGCAATTAAGAAATAAGAAAAACCCTGTAGTCTTGAGTGTTCCCCAGTGGTTTTTGGGATCACGCTTGATTCACTTTCCACTTCAGCTGAGTTCCTCCAGAGCAAGTTAACAAGTATAACCAAGCCCTGGAGAAAACAGTATACTTTCAATCCTCTCAATTGCTTTTCCAGGACACTGACTAAGCATCATTTTCATAGAAGCTGAAAGCCCACAGTCCCTGCTAATTTCCATGACAATTTTGGTTTCACAGCTCAACCTCTCTCCTATTATCACACTGAATCTTAATGAGGCATAAATACTCAGGTAAACTGAATTACATTGAGAAGATATTGGTTGAGGAGAACTATACTTTGCTCTAAAGATTTTCAACACTTACTGAGGAGATCCCTAAAGAACCAGAGAAGCACATATTTAAATTGCTTGTAAAGATAATAATAAATATTCACATTTTATGTTCCTGTGTTCACAGATTAAATGAACAAAAAGTGGGTTTTAATCACAGAACACTCTGATCATCTCCATCATCTCACTTCAGAGAAAAAGCTTCCTTAGAAAAATGCATAAAATTAATGTAGTATAAACCAGATGGCTTTAAAATTTAAAAGCTACTTCTTCAGGAAATTACTTTAGAAGAACTCTTTACTAACCTCAGCTACTCTTTCCAAAAGCGGTTCCAGCCAGTGTTCATTGCATTCACAGTGACTATCCAGGAAGGTCAGCACTTTTGCTTGTGCTGCATCTGCCCCTCTGACACGGGAGCGCATCAAGCCTGAGAAGTAAAGATAGAAAGTTTTAAGTACTTACTGAGGAAAACAATCAACAGTAGTGAGAAACTATTCCATTCCAAGTTAGTCATTAATTAAATTACTCTAACTCAGACAGGACAAACACACAAGTTCCATTATCAAAATGAGATACTAGTTAAAAATTTAGTGAAATGACTTCATACTAAACAGCCTGCAAGCTTCCAACGCACTGCACCCTAGTCTACAGGTTTCAATCTGATTTAGGTGGAAGAATTAGAGTACCTTTTAAAAAAAAAAGTGATACACAAGTACAGCTGGGTCTGCATTACAGTAAAAGGTAATTATACTGACAAACGTTACTCAAGATCGGTCCTGAAAACAAACACCTTTCCTACAGCTCTATGATAGAACTGAGGAAAGCTCCATCATTAACTTATCTCCCCCACCTTTTTGCTGCCCCCCCATCTTAGTTCTCACCACAGTCTGTCCATTCTTCTGTCAACTTCTTCCAGAAATAACCATGCTTCATCAATTCATGCCCGAGAGCCTTCCCCCCACCCCTTTCAACTATTTCCTTTGTGATTCTTGCAACTCTCTTGGTTTGTAGTTTAGCAGGGGGTTTTTTGGTTTGGTTTGGTTGGTTGGTTTTAGGGCTTTTTTGAAAATCTTATCTTGAAAAGATTTCTTTAGGAAGAAAATTCTGGTAAAGCCAAGAGGTGGTTCTCTTCTCTACACCTCAGTTATACAGATCCCCTCACTGATTTACCCTGTTCCTTTCCTTCCTTAATTCACTTTTAATATTTGTTCATTGGATGACCTCACCATTCCTTAAAGTCCCTTGCTATATTTACACACATACCCTAGAACATCCCACCATTTACTCCACTACAGAAAATAGCAAGCTTCCTCAGTCCTTTGCAAATTTCCTCCCTATTTTTCTCTATCGCTATTCAAAATTAATTGATTTCATTGTCACTCAAGACCAAAGCCAAGTACTTTTTTTTTTTCCTTTTTCTTTCTACATTGTTTCACACCAAGTCTGTTTTGGTTTTGGGGTTTTATTTTCCCCTAACTGAAACTTTGTAAAACAGTCAACCCCATTTCTTTCCATTTCCTTTACAAAATAAACCTGCAAAATATAACTGCCAAACAGAATACAAGATGCTTAAGAGGCAAAGCTTGTTGGTCTGTCCAACATTCAGCAATAAACAGCCTCATCAAGACCCTTGTACCATCTCTTAGCACAAATGTGAGCACATCACTGTTCTAGATACACACTGTGCTGCTGCTCTCTGGCAGTACTTTCTACACCTTATCTGTTGCACATTGGCAGCTAACTATACCTCATTTTTTTTATGCTGCCTAATTCCAACCTTTGAACCTGTTCTGTTCAGTTTTTCCATATCAAACCATTCCTCAAGCACTCTAGCTATGTTTGTTTTACTTCTGCAATTCCTCCTTTCCACAGCTTATTATTTCTAACTTACATTCTTATAGAACCTACTGTCTTGCTCTACTGCCATAGAAAACACACAACAGTGTTTGTAATATGCATTTTTTTGCCCCACATCTGAGGTGACCACTTGGGTCACTGAGTCTTCTACAATCACGCTCAACCTTACAGAGAGTTGAGAAGGTTCCCCTAACATTTATTCACAGACTACCGTGCCCTCCAAAATACATCTGTTCCCATAACAAACTTTGGTCTTACAGATGAGACCAAAAGCTACTATCACATATTTCTGAAAGCAAGCCAGTCAATGTCATCCCCTCCACAGACACTATGCCTTATTCTATTTTAAACCACACTGCCTTCCTCTGTTGTTGATACTAACATGTTACTTATAGCATCTTACACACTGGCTGATTTTACTGATTCTCTTAAATTTTAATTCGTATGTGTCCGAGACATCAATATCAGTCTACACTTTAAAATGAAAAGCAAAGTGAGCATCAAAGTCAAGCATAACAAGCCAGCAATCAAATGAAATCTTAAAATATTTTAATTTAAAAAATTATCACCTGGTTGCACATACACACGTCTAGGCAAAACTTCATAAACAGTACAGTAGATCCCACAGGTAATAATTTAATCCTAATCTCACAAAAATACCAAGTAAGGTAATTGTGCCTTCAATTTGCAAATAGTTGTTCTTTTTTGACATTACAAAAGATTTGTCAAATTGAATTTCATTTTCAGATCTACTGATGCATATTTTTAAGTATGAATGAAAATTCAGTTTATCTGTGTATGCAGTACAAAGTTAATATAATTACTAAAAAATAAAAAAAGTTTTACTTCATTCCATTTTGCTATTACGATTATCTCCATCTTTAAGTGCTGTACTGATCAGAGGAATGATAAACTTACTCAGAACCCTGCAACCATGGCAAGTCATAGAAGGTCTGCTTTCCTAACAAGCCTTTGTTCAGAAGAGTATCTCAAACAAAATATTTACAAATACTAAGAGCCCATCAGTTCGCAATAATTAATTATGGCACAACAACACAGGTTTTGTGCATGTCATTTCCATTTTCTGACAGTCTAATGATTCTAGCTGCTCCCCAGGCCAGGCTGGCAGCCTAGAAGATACAGACCCTACAAAAATAAACAAGCACATTATCTGCTCAGTCAGCTATTTCAACAATAAACTGTCAGTTATTATTTCAAACAGCTGTAGAATAACAGTTGCCTGTATCTAATGCTTTAAGCTCCACAGCAAGGAAGCTGCTGACTGAAGGGCTCAGTGATACGAGACCAAAGTCACAAAGCAACAAAGAGGAAAACAAAAATGTTAAGACAAAGTTTGTTACATGGCCCACTGGCTTCAGCAAAACTGGCATACATTGTCCCAGACCTCCTGGCTGCTCAAACCCTCTCAAGTCTGCCAAACAGTTTGTTTGCCAGGCTGTACATCAACTGGATCCTTACTCTAGTAAGGGAACCAGAAAAGAAAAAAAAAAAAAAAAGCTCTTTTTAAGCTGGATCGTTTCAAACATTCATACAATTTACAGTGAGACCTTACATACAATGGGAGCAGCTCAACTGAGGATTCAGTACAGTAAGAGAAAGGAGAGGTTGAGGGTAAAAGGCAATTTCTCAAGTTGGTGAAAGCCAACAGTGGGCAACTGCACACACAACATGGAATTAATCAGAATTACTGGTTTTACTTGCACAAATGCATTTGTTTTTATTCCTTCCGCTAGTAAGTTGATTTATAAAGTGAAAATCCCCCCTCCAATATGGAGTGTATAGCAGAATGTTTCTTTAAAAGACTTGGTGAAGATTAACAGATAAGGCAGCACAGTGGAATTTGTATCTTCCTTCCCCCAGATTAAGCCTACCTTCTCGGCGATCGTTTCGAAGAACTCGCACTTTTTCAATTTTTCCCAAGAGAGCACCATCCTCAGCTTTTAAAAAAAAATAAAATAAATCAAGTAATCAAGTGATGAAAGTGATGAGAACCAGTTTGATATCCAACACTGTACACCGTAAGAGAGGCTGTCTTCAAAGAAATACAAAAGCTTTGTAGTCGAAAATGTTTATGGTCATAAACAGTTAAATATAAGACATATGCTTAAAAAAAAATTACCTACTTGTCTCAACAGAAATAAAGAAAAGCTACCAGGCAAAGAAATTACTATACTCATTATGTTATTTAAAGCTAATTTAACTTTACACTTTTGAAATATTTTTATTTCATTATATTCTCTGCTTGCTTTAGACAGTTTCTACATTACTAAGAAAAAAAAAACTTTTATAGGATTAAATAAACTGTTTTCTTTGCAGATAAGAAAGTTCACTTTTTAACCAACATTAAGGCTTAAACCTATCCTAAACTAGCTATAAACTAACAATGCAAATGTAGACATTAACTTCCTTTAAGAAATGTTACTCAGAGGTCCATTTCAATTGTTCAAGTTTGTATTGTGATACCCTAGTACTTAAAAACCTTGACTTATTTTAGATTTAGTAAGAATTTTTCCAAGAGACTGATGGAGACCTGCATTCATTTAAAGCAGTGCTACAAAAAATATCTGGTGCAAGCACCATGGATTTTATTTTTACATCAGATGACATACTATGTAAAGGCTGTTTTCAGTTATACACTCTGCTCCATCAGCTAGCAAGAAGTAATAAGATATACCTGAAATATTTGTCAGAACTCCTCACATTTCCACAGTGACAGATATAAAAGAATTAAGAACTGGGTTTGGATCAGCCTCTGCAAACTCCTACTCATGTGACCTATTCTTAACTGAGTCACCTACCAGCATCTACAGAAAGTCTTACCAGAATAAACAAAATAAAGTTAAGACCCTGTAAAAGTACTTACAATCATTACTGTAGTCATCCACAAGTATGATCTCCTTAATAAGATGTGATGGGCTTTTTTTAAGGACACTGAAACAGACCAAAAAAGAAAAAGTATTCATGCTAAGTAGTCTTAATGTTCCATAATAATGTCATAAAAGCAGTTACTTTGTTAAGCCACAGTAGAACCTAGCCAAGGACCCTATCTTCAACAACAGCTATTGGCTTATTCTTACAGAAAGCATTTGTGAAGAGAGGCACACATAGAACCATTCTCCCTGAAATTCCAGTCTCTAAGAAATGAGTAGAACAGACAACTTGCAACATGGAAGTCTTGCAGATAGCTTTAGGTCAACTACCCCCTGGGAATCCATCTTCCCTGAGTTTTTCTTGAAACTAGTTATACAGCCAACCTCCAAACATCTTCTAGTAATCGGTGCCACACTTTCATGCATTTGTAATTAAGGGGAATGATTTTGTTTGTTTAATGCTGTTGTTTCAGAACATTAAGAACTGGAGGCATCAATGAAATTAAGGCCCAGCTTTCCCTCTGCAAATGGTTCAGAAAAGCATAATGGATTGTTACTTCCCTTCCTTATCATAAGCCATTCTCTGACACAAATAAATGGCCTTGGGGAGGTGGGGTGGAATCAAGGTCTCTCTTAGGTATACCTGACAACAGTTCGAAGCAAAGCAGATCTTGCCTCATTATGAAAGGTGATCACCACACTAGTGGCTGGCAAATCTATCCGCCATTGTTTCCGTTGACACCTGGAAGACAAAATACCATTATTTAAACATACTATTTACATCCCAGGCTTAGCAAACAGCCTTCATCATGAAGCAGTTATCCATTAAACTCGGGTACACACTACATCTACCTAGGAAGAATGCAATATCTTTTTGCAGGTGCAATTATAACCAACTCCTCTTCTGCCACTTTTGGTAGTTGTCTTGGTACAAAACAGACTACGAACGGTCAGTGTCAGATATAGGCAGGTTCAGAAAAGTCACAGGACTACCATCATTACAGTGTGTCAAATACCTTTCATGCAACTGAGCATGAAACCAGAGCACTTATTTTACATTAAAAGCATTCAATAAATTAAGCAAATAAGCCTATTTTCAATGAAATGCACAGGTTCACAGGCTACCATATGTCTCTTTTTTAGAATGGCATGTGTCCACTTCTCCCTTTAGTTTTTAAAGCTCCTGTAGCATCCTGGTCTTGCTCATAGATAAAAACAGTTTTCTATTCTAATGAGAAGTTGTAAGGATTGCAACATTCAGAATTTGAAAAACAAAGCTAGCTGTGACAACGTTGAGCCAACTAAACACAGAACCACATCCTTCCAAACCATGAAAATAATGAAATATTCCACCTATGTCAACTCATTTTTCATCACCTCTAATAGCCTGAAATTAATATAATAAGCAAAAATAAGCAAATCCCAAAATACTTCCTGCAGGACTGCATAAAGTTAAGCTGTTTAAATCCTCTGACAATAAACCTAAAAAAGACACTACTCTCATTGTATTAGAAGCTAACAGTACTAGAAAATGCTGTATAATGAGTTTATGCTGAAAGCATTACAGTCTGACAGGTCACGATACGCATCGCCATTCATGCAGTAACGTACACCAGTGATGTATTTCTTCACATATCCTTTATTTAATATTAGGGGTAGAGTTTTAACAGGCCTAGTTGTCTTGAGACGGGATAAACCTGGCTAGCATCCACCTGTAGCAATTCGGCAAATAATTCTGTACTCTGTGCAGTATTAATCAAACTAGCTTTTAAGGGAAGAGAGGTAAGTTACATTGCTACCTGAACTTCTAAAACTAGGCCTCTGCCTATATAAAAGGCCTCTCCACACCTGATTAAACATCTGCAACACGCATCATAAACCATGCAACCTTCAACTTCCCGGAATCAGAGCGCGAGCAGCAACGGGCTTCTTGCCCTTGCCCACCCCAAAAAAACCCACAGACCCGCAGCGTTTTCGATACAGCACACCCATAACGTCACACACATTAGTGCTTGCCGTGAAACAAAACATTATTGTGCCATGGTGAACTCACTCGCTCTGAAGAAAAACAAAGCCCACGCCAACCCTACGATTGCCTCGTTTCTCAAACGGTGGGCGTACAAGATGGCTTCGTCACTAGTGCCCAGCGTTGAAGCAATAAATCAAACATGTATGCATTCCTAGAAAGTGAAGAATTAAGACCTTCTCTAATTGTGAGCTTCTGGCAATTCATTTAGATAAGTATAAGACATCCAGCTATAATACACCAAAGCCTACGGTGCCAAAAAAGATACTCTTTTTTTGTGCTAAATTTCAAATTGCCCACAGAGGACAAGTCTACTGTGCATGCAGTTATCACATGAAGCACTTGCATTAGAATAATTTAAATAGTCACATTAATCTTATACTGATCTTGCAGAAGAGAGCACTTGAGCCAGAGCACATCTTAGGGTAGAATTACTCAAGGCAATGAAGCCTCTCAATTTTAAGAAAACTCAAGAGCACTACTGCAAATTTCTGAAGGAGAAATTAAGATTTTTAGATTTCCAAATAAAACTGGAGGAGTGTTTCACTGAGTATTTCTGCTCTCAGCTCTCCAAAAACCCCTGCTTTAACTGACTCAGTAGCAGTCCTCCTCTTATTCTTCTGTGTCAGTAGTGCCACACTTGAAACTCAAACCAAAGAAACAATATCATCATTTTTGGCACAGAGATTAGACTTTCTTTCCTCAAGTTACAGAATTTAGTTTTACGTGCAGAATGACAAAATACACTTGGATAAAATAGAACTTGAACTGAAAACTTCAGTCTAGACCATCAATGCTTAGCGTAGGTCATTAAAATCAGTTAAAACATGAAAAGTACATTCTTTCCCCCAGAAATTTGAGTCACTGGACTAGTTCATATCATCAACAATTTTTCAGAAACCTCTGTGATTTGTTGAAACCAGTTTTTTTGGCAGAAATATCCACTTTAACCAGTGCAAGGAGAACATTCACCTCAACAGATGTCTGGGTACCAAGGAGACAGGAAAGTTTGTTTCTTCTCTGCTTAAGAATAAAACTTGAGTGTGAGGTCAGAAGCTTCTAATAGTTGCCAAATGAGGAAGAAAACACGGTTTAGTCCAGCTAAAGTACTTACCAGTAATTCTCAGGAATTATGCCAACACATCAGTTAAGAGACACGATCAGAAACCACTGGTCCAAAGTAAGCATGGCAGACACTGGTCCTCAAAAACCATGGGGTAGTTCACCCTTCCTCCCACTTCAGAGACTATTTTACACTGACAGGAGGACAGCACTGGAAGTTTCTTATTACAACTGTGACACTCACTTTCTGGATCTCCAAAATCTACCGTGACAAGGATAGCTCTCAGTTACATGTCATAAACTGACTGCAACAGAAGGAAACCCAGAGGTTTCTCAAAGCTGTTGGAAGTGGCAGTTGTGAGCATCAGCTGGAGTGAGAATCTGCATTCCTGCTCAGACCTCCTCTCTCTCTGCTTCCTTTATGTTGTATTTGCCTGTTTCTCACTTCTCCTTTTTGCTTAAGATAAAGGCAAGCAGCAGCTTAAACAGGCGAACCAAAGTGTTCTCAAGTACTGCTGGCAGCTTTCACAAAAAGCAAGTAGTAAACTTTGGTCTTAACCCGTTGCTAGTAAAAGTTTGTCCAATGCAGAAAAGACTAAACAATGTAGTATTAAAAAAAAAAGATATGCATGATTATACACACATTTACATATCTAGTATAGAATCCTGTAAACTGCTTCTAAACAGCCTATACAGTTTCAGCAATTAAATAGTATTATTATGTAGTTATTTTAAAGTCAAACAGCCTCTTAGACACATCAATGCAATTAATAAAAAGTTGCTTAAGCAGAAACAAGTATTTCCTCATCCAGGTTTTTTTTCTTAAATAAAAAGATTGTAGCAGCTCCATAAGAGATCTTAATCTTAATACAGTTGCCTCCAATTTTATGGAAAATAACATGCTTCCAAGTGTCATGTGCTCAGATCTGTAACATATTCTTCATCCTATGGCTATTGCTATTGCTCCTTCCATTGGACAGTACCCAAACAAATATTTCATGCAACTTTTTCAGCTTCTGCAGTGAATGTCCTTGCCAAAATGGAAGGAAAATTAATTGCAACATGGCAGGGAAAGCATCATGGACAATTTGCAGGAATGATTGCTTCAGTTTGGTTTGGGGTTTTTTGGTTGGTTGGTTGGGTTTTTTTCTGCAAAAAGATGACCATTTCAGACTGATGGGCACTTAAATCTGCTCCACAGCAAAGTCTAAGTAATAATCACAGCAGAGATACAGCCTTTCCCTAGAAACGTATCTCTCTCTCTCTCTCCATTGCAGGGTTCTTTTTCCAGCTCCATTTATTGAAAATACACAGGCAGGTCAGCATATAATCACAACACTGACAGTTAAAACATAGTCACTATAATATAATTTGTCTCCTGTCATCTCTCTTATTTAAGTTCTTTTCAAAGTAGAGCATTCGTCTGTTAGACCCACCTGAGAGATTATTAAGTATCTAGAAAAATTCCAAATTCTGCATATATGAATCATAGAAGCTTCTAGAAGTTGGTGGCTGAGCTTTGCTCTTGTGGGAAAAGAATAACTGATCTAAAAAGTTAAAACGCATTTCTTGTGAAAAAAAAGTGATGTGATGAAGAAAACTCAAAAGTAATTTTAAACTCCTCAGTATACCGGGGCATCGTGCTTTTCACTGCTTTCATGGCAACAAGTGAAACATCAGATTCTTCCTACTTTTCCATTCAATTAATGGCAAATTCTACATGACTAGTTTTATCTACAAATCACCTACTTAAAGGAACCTAAAACCGTGTTATTATAGAAGGGATTTAAAAATGACACAGTAAGTGTCTGAGTTTTTATACAAATCTCCTTCACTATGCCATTCCTGATTAAACAGCTTTATGGAGAAAAACCAGGCACCTTCCTTATCCCTCTCCCTCTGGTGCCTCCTCCAGCTTCTTCTACCTACAAAGCTGTGAATGCACATTTACTCTAACTGCAGAATTAGTTAGGCAAATTAACTATACACAGTTGGCTAATTTTATGCTTTGAGCCTATGCTTGCCTAGTTTTTAAAACCAAGTTCAACCTGCTTCTGTTATTTTTAAGTTATGGAAGTCCTAATGAACAACTGTTGTTTTAATATTAATCAATTCTGCTTAAATAAGATTAGTGCAAGTCACTCAAACCCTTTTTAAGTTGAAGATTTCTCTACCCACAAGAACATAGTATTTTTCTTTACTATGAATTGTACTATTTCCTGAAATTGCACAAGCAGCCTGACATAGCAAAAAATTTTTAAGCATTTGAAGTGTAATTCTGTCCTATGTTCACTGGGGTGTGCATAAATGGATTCCTTTAGGTCTGGAGTTGACAATCATCACCTACTTAGAACAACAGAATCACAAAGCAACTGAGATCAGAAGGGGCATCTGGAATCTTTTAGTCCAAACTCCCCGCTCAAAGCACGGTCGGCCACAGCAGGCTGTGCATCGGGCTTTGAATATCCCTAAGGCTGGGGACTTCACACTCTCTCTGGGCAACCTGCTCCACTGTTTGATCATCCTCACAGTGAAAGAGACTTACAAATGTAGGAACCAAGAAAAGCCATCAGATAAACAGGAACAAAAAGAGACTGAAATGCAGCACCAGTTTGGATACAGAATACACACTGATGGAAGCCATGGAAACAGAAAAACTTGAATAAGATTCATTGCTCTTTAACCCACTGTTCGAGGATCGCACTGCAGTTTACTGTTCCTGTCACTTCAAAAGCTGGAGAGCTCCTGCTTTAGAAAAACCACCTGCTGCTCAAAAGCCATAAATACAAAAGGGTTAATCCAAGTCATACAGGGGTCAGTTTAGCACTTACTGATCATGCCTAGTGTCGGGAATACTTCGGTCCATTCGCAGTTTGTCACTTTCTACCTGATTGAACTTATTGCGGGCATATGGATCCTGACCAGATCGCACCATGGTAGCGCCAACGTAAGCATCTTGATCAAAGTCTTGCCACCGAACTTTTCCTACAATAGAAAAACAGGAAAATATCCAATTTAATCTTCGTAATTTAAAGAATAGCATTCAGCAATCCAAACACCACCGATGAAATAGCCTATTTTTTATTTTTGCAACAAAGTAATCAAACTGCAACAGTATTGTTAAGTGTAACATCAACAGCCACTTTTGCCTATTAAATTCCTCTAGAACATCCTGCAAATTAACATGAAATTGAACAATTTTACAGATCTCAGTTTATACAAGTAATCAACAGACCATGCTTCATCTTGCCCATTTTGTTTGTTGGGGTTTTTTTAACCTCAAATGCCACAACCTCCATTTTAAAAAAAAACCTCCACGTATCGACAGGCATTAATATGGCAGATGATCTGGCTATAAAGTTATCCAAGAAATATTTATTGTTTAAGATCCAGTCCAGACTTCAAAGACATTATAATTTAATTTACTGTCTCTTTGCATAAATAAAAGCACAGTCAGTTATAATCAAACCATTTGAGGAACAAGCCTTTTAGAAGTACAAGACAACATTATTCTCAAAACCCGGCATTTCACACAGACAGAGCACTAGATCGCTCTCCAATACAACCTAATGGCAACCCCCTTTACAATCAGAACTGATTAACTCCTCTTTAACAAGGACTGTGTTATTATGTGAGTGGTTGTGGCACTAACACGGAAAGTTAGACTGGCATCCAGCCACCAGGAACAAAATTTCAGGACTTTCTCCATCTTCAGGTGTAAAACAACAGTATGATATTTACCAAATGTCTTACAACTAGCAATTCTTACTTCTGGTTGAATGTTCAATTTTTGGCCTATTGACAGTCAAACCTGTGTTACCTACAGCAAATTTATACCTCCTTGAACTCAAAATCAGAGCTCAAGTTCTAGTGCAATACAAACATTCCTGGTTTAACATGGATGTGTATGAGAATCTCCTGCAAAGCAAAAGCTGTCTTTTGGGGTCACTATTTATTACAGATTAGAGGAGCTAACATTCATTGTTTTCATCATTAACATACAGAGTTTTTGAGGTACTTTCAATTAAGGTCAGTAAGCAGCAGGCTGCAGAGATGTCACTCCATTCAAGTTCAACTTTTAGACAAATAATATAGCTCAGGCATATCCTCAACTAAGCCGATATGCATAGAGGGAATACTACTCTAACAGCTATTGATGAGAGTCGGAGGTTGCTCAGAAGTTTCAAGGTTTGCACAGCATGGAAGCTACGTAGGGCTCATTTACAGCTTTCTATCCATAAGCCATGCCCCACCTATGGTGCGTTAACTCCTGCTAGAAGATTCTGATATTGAAAGAACACTTCCCATCATTAAACAAAATAATTGTCTGTTGTTTAACCAGACAAATACCACCAACTTTATTAAAAATTCTCTATAATCTCAGGATCATCTGAGGAGCTCATCTACAAAAGCAACTTGGACCCAAAGTGCAATTTGGTTATCAGATGGTAGTGGAGGTTGTAAGACAAAAATATCTAGGTTGGGGGGAGGTAGTTTTGGGTTGGTTGGTTTGTTTTTAAGAAACTTCCAACATCCAAGTAAAGTCACAGAGTAAGAGAAAAGCATCCGTACTTCTGGATTACTGGTTTAAAAGCTAGCCAGTTAATACTGAGCAACTATCTTTACATCTAAATTACCATCCTAAAGAAGTTAAAACATGCACACAGACACAGAAGCCAGAACTAGAGAGTTAAACAAAAACAAACTGCACAACATTTAATAGACACTTGGTGAAGCAGCCCAGAGGAAAACTATAGGAAAATAACTGGAGGGAGAAATACAGATTTTCAAATTCCAATTACTGAAAGAACTCTAAAAAGGAAACTTTCCAGCTGCTGTTGGTAGCCCACAAACTGCCAAGAGTTTTCCTTAGCCTTTCAAGTTCATTCTTCAGAATATTTCCAGGAACTTTCTTTGAAAACAAGTTTACACCTCAGCCAGCTACCACACTGCAAATAACCCAATACAGAGTTATTTACAAAAATGACACCAAACCTCACTTGCAACAAAACTATACAAAATGCAAGAATGGCTTGATTCAGGAAACTGGAAGAAGAAACAGAGATCCCAAGGTCATCTCCCCATATAACTCTCTACTTTAGCATTTCCCAAAGCTTTTGCAGCCTCCTTGGTAACTAAACTACATTATCACCCTTGCTTCTAATTTATAATATAGCTTCAATCTGGAACATACATTGAATATTTTCTGAAATACAGAACATGTCATGTCACTGCTTTTCTGGTCTAAAAATAAAGATTTTGGTGCATTTTACAAAATCTAATCTACACTTAAAATGCACTTATATAGGACTTTCAACTTTCAAACACTTCAAATTCCAATGGATTTTAATGCTATGCCTGCTTCAGGACTGCCACCCCCATCAACTCCTCCAGTTGCCTTCCATCCAGCAGAAAGAGTAGCTAAAACACAGGAGGTCATGAGGGCATCACATCAGTGATAAGGGTGATGCAGTCGCAAGCATTCTTCTTAAAACAGGTTGTGTTCTTCATGAACTTACAACATGCAATGTGGGCTGCCCACATGGTTACAAGTGCTAACGGCTCAAGTTAACTGCTGGAAAATGAAAGGCTGATCCAAAGCTAAGTATACTGTGCAGCCTTCCTTTTGCTGAAAGGCTTGCCTTTCTGACAATTTATTAACTAAATTTTGAAGTTAGAAGTGATTTAACAAACCTTTTCCAATAATAGGTACTGTTTCTGCTGTATGCTTCCCTCGGGTACACAAATAGGAGCATGTTTGATTTAATTTCTTCTGGGGACTTAGCTGGCTCTGTAGTTTCCTGAGTTTCAATGACTTTGCCAGGTGGAGTGAGTATCAGAAAACACAGCTACATTATTTCAAACTTAAATTAAGCAAGTTTGTAACTTCAAATTCAAGAAAATGTGAGTTTGCCTGTACCGAGATCTCACATGGCAATAAATTAATCTTTTAAACTCAACAGTAAATGAACTGCAGAGTTTGCTACCAAATAGACACATCCCACCCCCCCACTACCCCCCAAAAAAAAAAATTAAAAAAAAAAAAATCACTGAACCAGCTAAGAACCTGGAACCAGGGTATGCTGCAGTGCTAAACTTAGTTTTGACAAGAACTGCTTATTTTAGACTGTTCTGAGCCTGAGAAGCTGAGTAGAAATAAAAAGGTGAAATCATAGAGTTGTTTAGGTTGGAAGAGACCTTTAAGATCATCGAGTCCAACCATCAACCATGCCCACTAAACCATGTCCTGAAGTGCCTTGTCTACGCGTTTTTTGAACCCCTCCAGGGATGGCAACACCACCACTTCCCTGGGCAGCCTGTCCCAATGTGTGACAACCCTTTCAGTAAAGAAATTTCTCCTAACATCCAATCTAAACCTCCCCTAGTGCAATTTAAGGCCATTTTCTCTTGTCCAATGAAGCTGTTTCTTTTTGTCCCAGGTATTTCCCAACTCTGAAGTTTTGAGAAGGCAATCAACAAAAATAGTGCAATTCACTGCTATTATTTTTGATAACAAGCCAGCTGATTTTAAATAGGAAGCACGTTTTCTTTTTTTTTTTTTGCCCTGTAATAAGTAGCTGTATTTTAAAAAATAGTGCTAGTTTGGTACATTTTATTCCATTCCAGTTTCCACCCAAGTAGAGCTTGATATAAATTATTTAAAATGTATCATTTGCCATTCTCCAAGAGTTTAAAACCAGCAAATGCAACACTAGTCCAGAAAGCACAGAGTAAATTTGAGAAGAAAGGAAATCACTTCATAGAGCTAAATTTACTGAAAAGCAGTGACAGCCCACAGAATATAAGAACAAGTGAATTTGGCATCAGGAGCCAGGAAGGAGGCAAAGCCTGGCTCTGACTGCAGCAGAAGGCCCTGTCAACCATGCACAATATGAATCAGATCTATTAGGGAAAAGTCAGATAACAGTAAGAGCAGCTCAAAGTGAGATAGAAAAGGAAAGAAAGCACAGCAGATAAATCTGCACACAACCAAGTGGCAGGCAACAAAGAGTAGGAATAGATGGACACAAAATCTCCTAAATAGCTTGCACTCCCTCTTACTGACTCAATACAGCTTAAAACCAGTAGGATACTTGATATAAATATGATTATTTTGACTTACAGGCATTAAGAGATTCCAGATCTTCATTAACTAACAAAAAGAGCTGTTTGAGTAACTGCTGAAACTCCTGTCATAACAGCGAACCAGTTACACAGTTTTGCTTTAGTCATCCATGCAGAGAGTTCAGGGTCAGTCTTCCTAACTACAAAAGCTAACATCACTGTTTTCACAAAACAAGAAATAGACTTTTGCAGCATATAAAAAAGTCAAATGACAAAGGATAGAGAGATACACTCTGATGTACAGAAGGTAAAAAACCCAACAGTTTAATCTTTATATAGAGCCATTTTAAAGATAAAGATAATAAACAATTCCATAATTCCAAGAAGTTCTGAAAGATACTATGCTACATAATGCTGAAACCTAAACTACAGGTCTCCTAGCCTCAGTAGAAAAGCAAGAAAGTTTTGAACCAAATCCCTCCTAGAATTCAATCACTTTGCATTAAAACAGTGCAAAGAACCTGCAGAAATATGAATTCCAAGCTTCATTGCCATAAGGATTCAAAAGTTTGCCTACATGAATTGAAGATAATCAAAATAGTGATTTAAGAGTGCATAATTCTGTGTAGCCTTTGATGTTTGATTCGAGACTCTTGTACTACTGCAGTAACGATTCTCCTGCCTGTTAAGTCAAGCCATAAGAGATTACTAATCAACAGATGAAATGAAAAAAGCCTGACCTGCTCTACTTTACACTTGATTTTACTTCTAGCTTCAACCCCTCCAGCTTCTGATATCTCTCCCTTTCAACCCGTGACACTTCCCACTTCTTTTAATACTCAAATGGTTACTTAGGACCACTGGGAAAGGAAGGTCTTAGAGGACATGTACAGGGTTTGGCCCAGAATACATAAACATTCAAAAGGGGAAATAAGAATAGTAGCTGGAAGGTGCAAAATTGGCTGACCTATAATTCCAGTAACAATATTTGCAGAGAGTTCTATTAAGAGGAAAAAAAATACTTGAAAAGATCTGCCAGAAACCAAGTTAAATAAGCCAGGCTCTTCAACTTTTTAGGATTTATTTCCCAATTCACACACAAAGTTAAAGTTTTGCCAAAAAAGCATACATACATAGCCAGAGTCTTGTTTCTCCTCTCCAGAAAGCTGCTAAGACAAGGTAGGCCAAAGGCTACAGGAAAAAAGCCATGAATGTCAAACAGCTTATACTGTACCAGGAGTCTAAGACTGTAAAACAAAAATCATAACTCACACGTTATTGGGGATGGAAGCTTCCAGCTGCTTAAAGGAAAGTTTACCTTGGTTAGTTCTTTCTTCAAGACCTCATAGTATTTCAAATGTTTGGCTACACCAAATTCGTAAGCCAAACATTCAGATTAATAGAAGAGTAAAACGTGTTGTGAAGCTATCTGATCAGAAGTTGTCCTCCTTGTACAGTAAAATTTTTCAATACAGTGTAAAATATTCAAATCCATTTTACTATTTCTGTATTTCTTAGTACAATAATTCTAGCTACATATTAAATCTCACCAATGTGAAACAGTTAAGCAGCAAAAGAAGTTTATGGAAGCAGTCACATGAAATGAAGATTCCTTAACACTTAATTTTCCTAGCTCATCCTCAAGGCATAAGAGCATTTCACTCAAATAAAACAAAAATCACGTTGCTCTGTTATTTGCCAGCATGTGACGAATACTGAGCGAGTATGAGAAAAATAAAGGTACACCATCAGCACACTCAGGAAAAACTGCCGCATCAAAAGCTAGACAAAACTGAAAAAGTATGAACCTTGGCTGAATTTTTAGTTGGAAGCACAGTCCCAAGGCAACTTGCCTGTTGCCTGCCAGCATTATCCATTGAGAGAAACAGACTACTTTTATACAAGAGGCTTTTACAGCAGCTCAAACCTATTGCAGGACAATACAAACATACTAGCAAAGAGTGACATTCTGTATGGCTTTAAACCCAAAGGAGCAGTGAAGCAGGTAAGATTTAAGAAAGCTGAAGCTTTAAGACTAGAGAAGTACATATTGCTAACATAATCCTAGCACTTCCGAACTACAAAGAATGATTAGAATCAGAACAACTGCTGTGTTTTACAGCTTCCAAGGATAAATGTTTTATGGCTACGGATCTTTCATAACAAATGTTACTGCAATACCTGGAGGTAGCGTCTCCACACTTTGTGCTTTGTCCTCCCCATCATTGCCACGCACGTCTTTCCTTTTGGGGTTGATATCATTTGGGTCCTCCTGAAAAAAGTACATAATCTTTAAAATAATCTCCTTAATTGATTTTATTTTGTTTTCAAAGCAAACAGCAATAACTAAGTTTTGTGTATTTTAAACTCATGAAGTGGTCCAAGAGAGCTAACTTTGGATTTTAAGAGAAAGGATGATTATTTCCTCTATTACTTGAAAAACGTAAAAAAAAAAAAGAACAAAAATTTAAGACAGGCTTTTGCATTTAATTTATGCAGTGATTCTTATTTGGAAAAAAAAAAAAGAAATGTTTAAGAAGGAAATGTATTAGGAAAGATGGAATAATTTTACTAAGTTATTTATTTCTTTATTTATTTATTTTAAAATTGGTAATACTCAAGTGAGCAATGCAGGCAAAAAGATTAAACAAAACCTGACGAAAGCCCTAATCTAGCAAGGAACAGCCCAAATAGGAAAGTTATCTGAAAAAGAGAAGTCAGGTTATCTAGCAGTTATATCCAGAGTGGCAGCCTTACTATTGGAAAAAAAATTCCAAAATATCTTCAGGTTGCTATTTTCATGTGTTCATTTCAATGGTGCTTTTTCTGGGCTTCACAGGCAACTCTGCTGGATTTGTGATTCCAGTAATATTGATAATACCCATGCAGAGAGGAGACAGAAAAGTTTCATCTCCCCCCTCCTCCAATTTCCAACGTTTATTGTGAATCTATAAATCTCATTTTCCTTTCAACAGAACCCCCCACACACACACTCTTGTATGCTCATTACCACAAAAATATAAGATGTCAAGCTGGAATGATCCCATTATGCATTTGGAAGAAGCAGAGAAGAGGGTAACTTTTTTTTTTTTTTAAAGGTAATTAGTAACTGTATGCCAATTTGCACACTACGCTTAGCCAACTGATTTAAGTGCCATCAGCTTCTGTTGTTCTTGCACGCTTGCTAAAGGAAATTCTGTTTCCTTTTCTACATCTGCACCGAAGAAGTCCCAGTTACAATACCAGTTTTATTTGCACAACCCTGCGAAAGACAACACCTTTACTACACCATGTAAGAAGATACAATACTATGCCTATACTAATCAATAAGTGCACCTAAATCTTTACTAGGCACTGCACTCAAGCAGTGCAGAACAGTTCGTATCTCTTCTAGGAACCTGTCAGAGTCTCCAGAACAGGGTGATGGTGTACAAACCACATACTGTAAACTGTCTCTGCCATCCCAGCTCCTTAGCCACATCTGGGAATTCTCTGGGTAGAAATGGGCCAAACTTATGTTGGGGAACATTTCAACCACAAATTATATCATTTCAGCATGTCCCCAAGCACGTCTGAATTTTCCAATGTAAATTCAGCTTAAGTGTCTACATTAAGTAGGCACTAATATTTGGAAATATGTTGAAAGAAGGCATCCAATTTCTAAAATACTGAAATGCAAAACTGAATACTGATGCTTTTTTGTTAATCATTTTTAGAAAAAAACCCAGCTATCTAAACACTACATCAGTTAAACATGAAATGCTATAAATGCATATTTTTCATAGCATCATGCATCAAGGATACCAGAGAGAAGGAATTTGTCCAAGTTCTTAAACTACGTTTCACTATGGTGGTACATGCTTTGGGCCACTGGGCCTCGTGGAGGTCAAGAGCTTTGCTTAAAGAAAGATTTAAGACAACAACAACAACAACAAAAAACAAAACCCCCCAAACACTCCCCAAAACACACAACGCATTTCAAGAACATGATCATAGCTCCTGCTGGTGAGGGAAATTGTCTGTCCCTGTGCACTGAGTCCCACCAGCACACTGAAACGGAAGATTTCTATGGTTCTAGAAAGTTGTATTTCACGAGTTATTTGGCTTTGTGCACCATATTATAGATAGCAATACTAAGGAAACAATAAGTGCAAGTATCAACTGTAGCTGGAATAAAAATCTTCTGAATAAGAATGTCAAGTTTTGCAAAATTCCACGAAGCTCTTCACTATACAAACTTGCTGTAACAAGTCTAAAAAAAATACTTACGTAAGTTGAAAAATAAATGCAACACATCTATTAAGCAATCAAAAAAATTTGGAAGGCTGTCTCCTGTAATTAAACAAAAACTATTGAGTTTAAGTCTCTAAGTCTTTAGGGGAAAAAAAATCTGCCTTCCCATTAATCCTTCTAGCTGAGGACCTTGTGCCATTAAGCATAATTATTTATCAAGTTCTTTCACTTTGGACTTTGATGCTGTTGTGTTTTGGTTTTTTTTAATAAACATAAACTACCAAAGGCAAAGTTAGATTCAGAGATCTTATAGCTAAATGCCATTTTGAATGCTTATAAATTTGAGGCTTCTAAGAAACTGCTTGGGTACAGCCTTCAGACATTCTAGGGTGAGCCAAGCTGCCAGGATGAAAGTTCCCACCGCAGATCGCTGGATGTTCAACTTGCCTCCTAAGTCTCCTTATAAAACAATATAGCGATGGGAGAGTATGGGATATTAACCTCAAACCTTTGTGCCCTAGATTAGGGCTTTGTGGTATTTTTCTTCTCCAAAAGAAGTCTCTTTTAACTATTTTTAAAAAAGACTACTCTGCTAAAACTGATGTTCTGTTGTAAGCACCAACTTTCACCCAATGAAGCATTTGGAAAGTACACATGGGAACCCCATGCCTTTTAGGGGCAAACAATATGTTATATCCTTTAGAGAGAACTCGAGTGCACAAAAGGAGAAGAAAGCAGATGTTAAAACCACAGACATAAATACAACCAGTTTCTTTACATCTCTGACTGTAAATTGCTTCAGCGTGTTAATTTGGTGCAATACACAAATGAATCGTATGGCCAAAATGACATTCCTATGTTGTCATCATCACAGGACAAGAGTTGCTTTTTCAGCTTGCTTGGAGTGAAACAAAATCCCAACTTCTAATGTGATCTTAAAAGGCTGCTTGCATTTGATGAGTAATCTTCTTGGTAGAAGATAATGCTTGCACCGACAAAAGTCATTCATACAAAAAGCTAAGCTTAAGGCAAGATTGAAAGCAACTGAAACCGTTTAAGAGGAGGCACAGCTCTTTAATCATGAGAGCACAAGAGGGAGATTGAATGAATAAAATTAAAAAGAAAAGGCTAATGCCTCTTTCTATATATTAATACTATTAGTACTTAATACTTTAAAATACCATTTTCCTGACATACTAAAAAAGCTGAAAATATCAGGCTACAACCTAAATATGTAAATGCTGTAAATACACCTGGACAAGTATTTTGAGCTTACTAAAAAAAATAAAAAGGTAGCTGGCCAACTAGCAGAGACACTAACCAAACATTAGATGCACGTGGAATGCCACTAGAGGAATGCATTTGGGGTCGTTGTTCATGCAGTTGTTTTCTCAGGCCAGGACACGTATAGCAACATCAAAATAAGTACATGCCAGCTATAATGCACGTGTTGCAGGGATTTGGCATACATTAATTTTACACATCATATCACTGCTTCCCATTAATTCCTGATTCAGTACCAGATGACATGAGAAGAAAGAAAATTGCAACCTTTTGACACCATTCAGTGGGAAATCTTACAACAGTATTGTAGTAATATATTAGGTGTACCAAATAAACCTGAATTAACTGTAATTTTTAAATCCAATTCTCTAAATACCTTTGCTACTCCAAAAGCTCAGAAGTTAGGTGATGTACATTTACTTGCCAACTTGTTAAAACGTTCCTTGCAAACCATAACCACAATTCATTATGGTTAAATTTATTCAGTTGGGGGGGCTTAGGGGTTTGGGTTTGGGGTTTTTTTAATGCTGATTAATCACTGAAGCACAGCAACTTTTTGTTTCAGGATACGGTAAACCTTCCATGCCTCAGAAAGCCTACATCAGTTTACAAACTTTGCAATTACCCCTTTTCTTTTCCTTCTCAAATCACCCACTCCATTAAGACTACCCTATAGATTAAATTTGAGACATGACAAAGATGCAATATGAAACTCCAGTTTCAAGAGCTAGACTCAAAAAAATTGTTTCTTGAAATGATTAGTGACACATTTGCAGCTGCTCTGACTGGTGCAGGGAAAGGGAGGATGAGGTAGTACAAATGCAAAGCAAGAGTCAAACACATTTTTACAACACTTCTACACATCTACAACAAGACACAATCATATTCAACAAGAAATTTAAGACTAGTGCCATTTGAGTTTAGAAAGCTGTAATTATATACAGATGTACATTAGTGGATAATTTCATTACCATTACTTCGAACTTCCAGACCACTTACCATTCTGGTTTGGGTATATTTGTTTGCATTGAATACTATATTCCTTACAAGCACTGCAAAGCAATTAGCGTTTTGTCAATTGTTATTTCACTTGGCACAAAAAAAAAAAAAAAAAAAAAAAAAAATTAAACTGATCCAAGTCCCTAGGTATTGCTCCTATAAAAAAACCAAACCACTTTAAACCACTACTGGTTTTCCTATTTCTGTCTTCCAATACTCTTTTTTTTTTTTCTTTTAATTAAAGTTTCAAGCATCACGGATTTGACATTTAGCTGCTATGTATTAGATCTCATTATAGCAGAGATTTCTATCCTACACTGGCTTCCTATCAACAAGAGAACAACTTACCAACATGTAACATCACCAAATATATTAAGATACTACACGCCTTACAAGTGGCAACTCAACACAGACTTCAGCAAAGCTTTTGTGGTTGAAAACATCTTAAATGGGAGCTGAATGTGCCTCCAAAACAAGCCATTCCTCTCTCAGGCAACCCAGATGCTGAACAACATGCAACATTTGGGCAAAGGAGATGGTTGGGAGCTATGACTGCACCACGGGCTACCTGGACCACTCACGGAAATGGCAGCACGACAGATGAAAACATCTCACAGGCTAACGCACAGAGCTATCCAACCGCTAAACCATCCAGCTATCCTAGACACGGTCAAACCAACCGCTTTGCTCATCGCCGTGTTCCAACACTACTTTTCAAAGAAGTTCGCGCAGAATACAAAGCGGGGAATTACACAG